ATTCTTTTGTCATTAGTCATTGCATTACACATGTTTGAACAAGAAACAGTTACTTTGAAGAATCAAGCTGTTTTGGTTTCATGTTGTAAATGTATCACCATATTTCCAGAAGTCGCAATGTTGTGGCATTTATTCTTTAAGTTTGGAGTATGCTTACCTATGTGGCAGGATTGAATAGTGAATGCAAGCGTATTTTGCACAAGTTATGAATTGAACATTAGCATTGAAAAGAAAATCAGTGTGCTATCAAAATTAAAGTAGATGAGCAGGCGTATAGCCTTGGGTGAGAGAAAAGACTACTCACAATTCTTGCTTTGCTTGTACCAGTTGGTTATGTAGTGGCAATGGCAAAGACCTGGGGGGATGTAACCCAGTCATCTTCACAATTGTGTAGATGACCGAGACAGGGAAGTCTAAATTGGGTGAAAGAAAAGGGGAAATGTAACTAAAGGGAAAATGTAATGGGCAATAAGTGCTGGCTCTGCCAGTGATTCCCTCTCCTGTGAATGAATTTAAAAAAATCAAAAGGATGTCTAATACAAATGTTAAATATTCGTAAATGTTGCAAAATATCTTTAAACTATGACTTTTTCTACAGGAATACAGTTTAGCACACGTTGAAATGCCAAAGACTCTGGAAGCTGCAGAAGGTGCAATGAAGAAACATGAAGAGTTTGTAACAACCATGGATGCTAACAGGGACAAAATCATTGGGACAATTAATGGAGGAGAAAAGTTGATTAATGAGGACAATAATTTTAAAGTCAAAGTGGTTGACAAGGTCAAATCTATCAAGGAAAGGTAAGAAGAGAATGTTTAGAGTACAAAGCTCATCAGACATATGATTAAAAGCTGTTGATGGCTTTTTAGATTCAGATTCTTAAATTGATTTTTTTATGTTGATCCAGGTACCAAGGGAATATGAAACAGGCAAAAGAGGTGGCGGCGCATCTGAAAGACAACCGTGATCTTCAACATTTTCTTCAGAATTGCCAAGAGGTTTGTGATTGTAATTGGCTTACTGTGGTAAAATTTCATTCTGCGCTCTTGCACGCAATAATTCAAGCTGCTTCCCAGTGGCAACTGTTTTAGATTTCTGTTGTGTGTTAAAATTACTGTTTTGGCTGGCACCTGGAGATCTCTGCATTTGGGAACAGATATGACTGGGCCTTTAACAATCAATTGTTAGGCAGTTATGTTTTTTTTAAAATGGTGGACAGGTTTCTGATTTTGGCACTACCTCACTATGACATATTTTACGTAAAAGTGGGAGAGTGGCCCCATCTGTGATTTGCACCCGCAACTTCATGGAGGTAAATGATCAACGGTTAAATTTCCGATGAGCCAAAGCCCTCTGAAACTCTAATGGAAAATGCTGAAAATATTCAGCAGGGTGAGCGGTATCTGTAGGGAGAAAAGCTGATTTGATTTAATATGATTTAGTAGTGGCACATATACTGACATACAGTGAAAAGTGTTGTCTTACATGCTTTACAGGCAGTTCGTACTATAAAAGTGCATCAGGGTAACAGAACAGAGTGCAGGATATAGTGTTACAGCTGCCGAGAGGGTGCAGAGAGAGATCGACATTAACATTTAAGAGGTCCATTCAGAAGTCTGATAACAGCAGGGAAAAGGCTGTTCTTGAACCTGGTCGTACATGTATTTAAACTTCTGCATCTTCTGCCCGATGGACGAAGATGGAGGACAGTATAACCAGAGTGGGAGAGGTCTTTGATTATATTGATTGCTTTCCCAATGCAACGGGAAGTGTAGATGATGTCAATGCCTTGGACGCTGGTTTGCGTGATGGACTGGGCTGTGTTCACAACTTTCTGTAGTTTCTTGTGGTCTTGGGAAGAGCAGTTGCCATACCATACTGTGATGCATCGAGGTAGAATGTTTTCTATAGTGCATCTATTAAAAAAATGCTTCAGTTGGTATATCTCCCATTAGAACTGGAACCTTGCATCAAAGCTTGCTAAAATTTCTCCCAGCCCCTTGCATAATATAATGCAGTTCGACAGGACGTCAATCTACGTTTCTGAAGAAGCGTCCCGACCCGAAACGTTAATTTTCCTACGGCTCTGATGCTGCCTGGCCTGCTGTGTTCCTCCAGCTCCACACTGTGTTACCTCTGACTCCAGCATCTGCAGTTCTTGCTAACTCTGTCAATCAACAATATTTTTTACTTCTTAACATGCTTCCTGACTGGAAATATCATAGATGTTTCCATCATCAGTTATCACTTAAGTGGTGTGTCATTTAGCAGGTATTTAATTTGTTTTGCATGAGAGGATCAAGATACTATTTAGATATTTTTGCTGGAGTTCACACTTAGTATGTGATATAATTCTGAGGGAGAGGAAAACATTCCATTATACTTTGTCTTCTCTGAGGCTAGAGTGTTTTTGCCACTGATTCTTGAGATCACAGAATATGTTAAGCAGCCTACCCATTTACCATATCTGGTAGTGTGTTTATCAATGTGTATCACACCACAGCATATTTACTGAAAATGTTTCACCAATTATCATTAGCTAGATTGAGTTCAGAATCCTGCCTTTTTATGGACTGGAGTGTTCCTTCATCTGGAAATGTTTCACTGCCTGTTTTCTGTTTCCAGCTTATTTTCTGGATCAATGAGAAGATGCTAACTGCTCAGGACACCTCTTACGATGAGGCTCGCAACTTACACACAAAGTGGCAGAAGCACCAAGCATTTATGGCTGAGCTGGCATCAAACAAAGAGTGGCTGGACAAAGTTGAAAAGGTGACTCACAGCTAAGGAATTATTATTCCGGGCTTTTGATAATTCTGTCTAACTAATTTCACTTTGCAGCATTTTCACATTTTTCAACTGTAGTTGCTTATTCTGTCAGGAGGTGTGACGTCTTTCAATTTTTAAAGTCGCTTTTGAAAAAAAGCATTTTCCAGAATGCAAACCCGATTTTTGAAGGAGAGCAATGTATGGAGAAAATTAAAGCCATAACTCTTCGATCCAAATTATGTGAACTATAATCTGGAGGTTTTTGTTTTCAGTGCAATCTGAGTACAAATCCAATTCCAAATTTTGCTATGTCTGAAAGCAATTTTTTGTTCAAAATTCTACTCAAACTACACATTACTGAATGTAAACTATAACAGTGGAGGTGCAAAGAGACATGGGAATGATGGTGCATAGCGTGTTGGCATATCATGTGCAGGTATGGAAAGTAATGCTTACTTCTATATGGAGAGGACTGGCACACATGGGAGTAGAAATCAAGCTTCTTAGTTACACAAGCCTTGGTTAAACCATGCCTAGATCGAGTGTGTGTGCTTGTCCCTTAGAATGAGCATGTCATTTACTCATGGCAAGAATTTGCGTGTTGCATTCCCTTAATGTGGGAAGGTTGTTGTATTGCAAACACCGCATGGTTCTGGCTGACCAAGAAGCTCTCCTACCCTTGCTGCCTATAATAGACGTATTGTAAAGATTTACAGATTGATAGCCTGTTTGGTCACATTATGACACCTTTCAAGGCCATCCAAGTCCTGAAATGGAATTTGAACTCGGAGCTTGTGGCACAGAGGTAGGGACCCCACCACACGTGATATACTGCAAGTAGTTTTGCGCACCAGGCCTTTGGAAGGATATGTTGGCCTTGGTGGAAGTGGTGCATAGATTCTCCATGGACTCTTCTTGGAGTCTAAGGGTTAATTTTTAAGGTGAGATTACACAAACTCGGATTGTATTCACTGGAGTTAAAGGATGATAAGATCTAAGTTGTCAAGATATGAATGGGAAAACATGAGTAGATAGAGTTAAATCATTTCTGCTGATCGAGATATACAGTCTAAATACGAGAGCCAGAACTTTCAGAGGAAATGTATCGGAAACCTTTCGACACAAACAGAGTGAAAAAAGTCTGGAATTCTCTTCTACATGATACTGGGTGAAGGTTACCATTTTAAATTTTAGATTCATAGATAACTGGTATTCGAAGATATGAAGGGGCATGAAGCAAAAGCAGATAAATGCAATGGTTTTGAGATTAACCATGATTTCAGTAGCTCAGTTGCCTACTCTTGTTCCCACATCCAGAACAATCAGGTACTGTTTCAGATATTTGTTTATCTTGCATTTTAAGAAACGCATTGAAAGATTTACTGGTAAATTTTATTTGTTCTCTTATCACGAAAAGGTAGGTATTTTTACTGAGCTTGTTTGGTCAATCATCTATGAGTATTCTACTGTTAAGTTAATAAAAATGGCAGTAAAAGTGACACAGAACAATTTATGTCTTACATTGACAGTAATCAGTTTCTCGATAAACTAGGAGGAAACATTTAGAAGATATTTAGGAGATTGTGTACTCCTCTTGCGACATAAAAACATATAATTGTAAGGGCTTCTTCTAGGCTCACAGATGGCACAATAAAAGGGAAATTGATTTGACCTGTGAGTGGGTCCAGTTTCCAACACAATGTGGGGAATATTATCCAGCCAACACAACGTGTGCCACGATGGTTCGCCTACTTAATCACATGAGGGCCCGTTTAACACCACAACCTTGGCCCATGCCTCCGATAACCGTCCCCCTTAGCTCCCACAACTCCTACCCTTTCATCTTCACTTCACTCTCACTAACCATTGACCTGAGGTACTGCATTGATGCTGGCCACAACACTGACATCTATTGGATAATGTGAAGAATCTCACCCGGCCCATCAGTCTACCAACAATCATCAGGAAGTGATAAAAGGTGTCAGTGCCAGTTCTGTCAAGTGTCAGCTGCTCGACAGTAACTTGCTCATTGACACTCAACTTGGGATCTGCTAAACCCTCTCAGCTCATGACCTGGTCTTGATCATGAATGAAAGAGTTAATCTCAAGAAGGGAACTGAAGGTAACTGCCCTTGGGTTCTGAGTATAGCTGCAAGGAGCCCTCGCTTAACTGGAGTCAGTGTGAACTGGGGAAACTCTTGCCAGTTACAGTCATACTCGACACAGAGGAAGATGATTATGGCTGTTTGAGGTCAACCACCTCAGCCACAGAATATCCTTGCAGGAGCTCTTCAGTGTAGTTTCCTCGGCACAATGATCTTCAACTGCTTCATCAATGACCTTCCTTCCATCATAAGGTCAGAAGTGGCGATGTTTGTTGATGCTTGTATAATGTTCAGCACCATTCACTATTGCTCAGATCCTGAAGCCGTGCACGTCCAAATGCAACAAACCTGGTCAAAATCCAGGCAAATAACATTTGTTCTAGGCAATGACCATCTCCAAATAGAGAGAATCTAACCGTCACCCATTGCATTCAATGGCATTGGGATCACTGAATGGCCGACTGAATGCAGCGGTTCAAGAAGAGAGCTCACCACACCAAGAGAAATGAAGGGTCTAGGCCCGAAACGTCAGCCTTTTTGCTCCTCTGATGCTCCTTGGCCTGCTGTGTTCATCCAGATCTGCACCTTGTTGTCTATGTTTAATAAGTGCTGGCCGAGCTGTGATGGCTGAATGAACAAAAAGATCACCAGTTTTGGAGGTGCTGATAACCATGAGGAGCTGCCCACCTCTGACTGGCAGCTTCCAGCAAGTGGCATGGACACTCCTGAGTCCTGAAATTCAGAGAGGACCCACTAGTGGCCACTTAAGTGCTTGAAGGGTGTTTAATTTCATTGACCTTTCCCTTTGAGGCTAGATGGGGATTCTCACTGTTGCTCTAGCCAGTGGCAAGACAACAATCAGGTCCAAGAAATCCTGCCTGAACAGTGCAAAACATTATGGAAGCACGATGAGTGCTGGATAAAATTTGAGTTGGTTGGCTAACACTGCAACCTAGTGGCATCTCCAATCCTCCATCTTAATGCATTTTTAAACTCACAACATACATTTTGTTTTAACACAAAATATTTAAGGTGTGTAAAGTAAATTTTATTCGTGATTTTAGTCATGACTGCAACAGAAAATAGTGAGATCTGTATGAGATCCAGGTGAAGAATTTGAACTGCAGCTTAAAGAGACAAGGTAGTATGACTGAGAGTTAACTCAATGGTTCAAACTTGATTTGCTGTGTCAAGTTGTTACACAAGTGATCTAATTTCATAACCAGCTTAGTATTGGTGTTAATACAGTTATAAACATGATGTATGCTTTTGCAGTGGAGGAGCAGAATACAATGGAAAGGGTTACTAACTGAATCTCAAGTCAATGTTCATATATTGATTCTCTATGCCATATGGCCATAATATTGGGTAAGGATTCCTCTGTGAAACTGAGCAATTTTTAATTCAAGAGGGTTTGCTGTTCATAGAATCATAGAATCCGTACAGTGTGGAAACAGACCCTTCGGCCCAACAAGTCCACACTGATCCACAGAGCATCCCTCCAAGACCCATCCCCTTATAACCCACCTAATCTACACATCCCTGAACACCTTACGGTCAATTTAGCATGGCCAATCCACCTACCCTGCACATCTTTGAACTGTGGGAGGAAACCAGAGCACCCGGAGGAAACCCGCGCAGACACGGGGAGAATGTGCAAACTCCACACAGCCAGTCACCCGAGAGTGGAATCGAACCCGAGTCCCCGGTGCAGTGAGGCAGCAGTGCTAACCACTGAGCCACTGTGCTGCCCAAAAAGGACGAATATGCATTGGCCGGTAAACGAGCCCGGGCCTCCCGCGTGGCAGGTGAGAATTCTACCACTGAACCACCAATGCAAGTAGCAATATATGTTGTGTTACAATATACGCATTCCTCACAACTCCCTGCTGCCAGTATGAGATGCACAGCTCAGCCATCACGGTCTTATGGTGAGTCTGCCACAGGTTTACATTAACATGAAGTAGACAGTCAGAGAGGTGCATGGAGAATGTTTGACAGTTTTGGACCCATGCAACTGTAGTGCAACTAATAATAATTGAATGATTTAAATCAGGAATGGTCAAGTCACCAGAATTTGCGAGACACAGATATCTTCGCTGCAGGAAATGGGAAGGGAGGAGATCATGTAGGGGTTTGAAAGCAGGATTGTAAATTTTTAAAATCAAGGCCTTGTTTGAACCAATGTAGGTCAATGAGCAACAAAGTGATAGGTCATTAAGGTGTGATGGATGTTAAAACACAGCAGCAGAGATTTAGATGATCTCAGAATTACAGAGAATTGAATGTGGGAGACCAGACAGTCACATTTCGAGATATTGAAGGCATGAATGAAAGTTTCAGCAGCACATGATCTGAGAGAGGGTGAAGTTAGAAACATAGAAATTAGGAGGGGGAGTAGGCTATTTGGCCCTCCAAGCTTGCTCCGCCATTTAATAATCACGATTGATTAACCAACTCAGTACCTTGTTCCTGCTTTTCCCCACACTCTTTGTTCCCTTTAACCCTCAGAACTACATCTAACTCCTACTTGAAAGCATTCAGTGTTTTGGCCTGAACAACTTTCTGTGGCAGAGAATTCCGCAGGCTCCCCACCCTCTGCATGAAGAAATTTCTCCTCCTCTCCATCCTAAATGGCCTACCCCATGTCCTTAGATTGTGACCCCATGGATCATCAGGAACATCCTTCCTATCTTTACCCTGTCTAGTCCTGTTAGAACTTTATAAGTTTCTGTGAGATCCTCGCTCGTTCTTCCATGGAGTTAGGGCGATGGAAACACTAGCATTAGGTCTGAATATGAGATCAGAAACACAATTTGGGTAAAATGTGTCATCAGGGTTGGCACCAACCTCAACCTTAAACTGTTCACTGGGGGAGGGGTGACTAATCCTGTGTTTCCAGATGATGTTGCCAAGAGGCATCACAGAGATTAGAATAGATTCTCAGGGACACCAGAGGTAATAACAACACAGGGACAGAAGCCATGGCTAACAATTAGCTTAAAGTATGTTGCAAATATATGTCATTGGTAAGAATGAGATACTTTCATTTCAATCATCTGGAAGTGATCAAAGTGAGCGTGTAATTTGTTGTTTGCGAGAATCGTTTTGACTGTTGGTTTTGAAGCTTGAAGATGATCGTTCAGTTTTCTAATAACAAGTGATTGCTGCTGATGTCATACCGTTGGTCATTTTATCTCATGATCTTTCCCTCGCATCAGGAAGGGAAGCAGCTGATGGAGGAGAAGCCAGAGTTTAAGCCGCAAATCTCGGACAAACTGCAAGAATTGACTGATTTGTGGAATGTTCTGGATGTCACCACGGAGAGTAAGGCAAAGCGCCTATTTGATGCAAACCGCTCGGAACTGTTTGCACAGACTGGTGATGACTTAAACAAGTGGTTGACTGAGGTAGAGTTACAGCTGCACTCTGACGACTTTGGAAAGGACCTGACCAGTGTCAATATCCTGCTGAAAAAACTACAGGTAATGATATTTCTTCCTCCACAGGCGCTTCCAGCATTTCTAATTTTCATTTGAATTATTGAGGATGCTCAACTGGATAGTTTGTAAATAGAGTCAGAGTCATTGAAACAGACAGCATGGAAACTGACCATATGGTCCAACCAGTCCATGATGACCATAATCCCAAACTAAACGAGTCCCGTCCTGCCTATGCTTGGCCCGTATCGCTCCAAACATTTCCTATTCATGTACTGATTCAAATGTCTGTTGATGAAATTGACAACGAAGGCAGGTCATCAGTAGAATGCATGTAAAAATCTGGAACAACAATTGGTATTAGGCACAGTAAAATATTTTGTGTCATACTGATGTATAGAGTTGGCATTAACTCTGACCAATATTTAGGAGTTTTCTTCAAATCTAAACATATTCTACAAATTGCAAAACCGGAATGACCAACAATGGATCAGAAATACATGTTACATTTAGCCGTTTGGTAAAAGTGGCAAGATATTTTATCTTTCTAAGCATTGTTATGGCCATCATTCTAATCCCACTGCTCCATGGAACACAGCATAAAATAAAAATACTTCTTCCCAGTTACCAAGATGACCAATTGTATAACCTATCTATGATAACAAGGTGTAGAGCTGGATGAACACAGCAGGCCAAGCAGCATCAGAGGAGCAGGAAGGCTGACGTTTCGGGCCTAGACCCTTCATCAGAAATGGGGGAGGGGAAGGGGGTTCTGAAATAAATAGGGAGAGAGGGGGAGGCGGATAGAAGATGGATAGAGGAGAAGATAGGTGGAGAGGAGACAGACAGGTCAAAGAGGCGGGGATGGAGCCAGTAAAGGTGGGTGTAGGTGGGGAGGTAGGGAGGAGATAGGTCAGTCCAGGGAGCACGGACAGGTCAAGGGGGCGGGATGAGGTTAGTCGGTAGGAGATGGGGGTGCGGCTTGAGGTGGGAGGAGGGGATAGGTGGGAGGAAGGACAGGTTAGGGAGGCGGGGACAAGCTGGGCTGGTTTTGGGATGCGGTAGGGGGAGGGGAGATTTTGAAGCTTGTGAAGTCCACATTGAAACCATTGGGCTGCAGGGTTCCCAAGCGGATTATGAGTTGCTGTTCCTGCAACCTTCGGGTGCCATCGTTGTGGCACTACAGGAGGTCCAGGATGGACATGTCGTCTGCGAAATGGGAGGGGGAGTTGAAATGGTTCGCGACTGGGAGGTGTAGTTGTTTAGTGCGAACCGAGCGTAGGTGTTCTGCAAAGCGGTCCCCAAGCCTCCGCTTGGTTTCCCCGATGTAGAGGAGGCCACAACGGAAACAGCGGATGCATTATACCACGTTAGCAGATGTGCAGGTGAACATCTGCTTGATGTGGAAAG